TTTCGATATATAAAGCTCAAGATTCACATTTGAATATCTAATGAAGAAGTAAAAATTCTGCCGCAAAAAAAATCTACTGCAAAATTTTTTTTCTACCGCAGGAAGGATTTTGCCCCCCAAGTTTGCAGGACTGAATTGAGAAAAAAAAGAGACTGAAGTAAGGGAGTTAATTGCTGATGTAAATTGGAAGAAACCTGACTTGGTTTTAAAGAAATAGAAAAACGGGATAGGATCAGCAAATGATAGAAATTCTGCTATAATGGGTCACGTTTCTGCTACCTTTCTAACAACAAACGACGCCGTGTTTTTCTTTGTTGCATTAATTTTTTTTTTTAGCTAGACAGTGTCGTATGAGAACAAACCTGTTTTGAATTAATGAGCATGGTACTGTATCCCCGCCTGCAACCTTTTCCCTCTTCTATAACCTATTGTTGTTGTTTTTTTGAAATTTTTCATCTTTGCATCATGTAAGTTGGTGCACATGACAACCCCCCTTTACACGTAAAATGTGCAGCTGCAATGCAGGAGCTCCAGTCCAAAAAAAATGTTTTTGCGCCTCCTATGTGCCAGTTGTATATGAGTACATGGAGAGGAGCCTCACACCATCGAAGGGCTGAGATTTCATCCCTAATACATACAGCTGGGATGAGGAGGCATAAGAGGGGCCTCCAAGTTTGGATTGACTATATAAACAAGCTGTGAAAAGAAAAGGAAGAGGGGAGAAAAAATAGAAAGGTGGAGGGAGACAGAAAAAGTTCAAAGATAGAGAGTTAAAGAGAGGGAACAAGTTTAAAACAGAGAGAACAAAGAAGGGAAAAGGAAAAAAAGAAAAAACCGAGAGAGCCAGGAGGAGGCTTAGAGTAAGAGAAATAGAGAAGCAACAAGAACAAGAAGAAGTTGCTTTGAGTTTATCCTACCTTGCCGAACAAGGGTTTACAAGAACTCTAAGAGGTTTTGAAAAAACTTCCTAATGGTAAAAAAAAAAAAAAAGGCTTTCTTTGGTAAAAAGACAGAAGCTTTTCCACTAGTTGCATCTTGTTTCTCTGCATTCAAACGTGCAGGATCAGCAGGTATGAGTCTTGATTTTCTTTTTTTTTTTTTTCCTTTAATGTATGTAAAGCTATTTGTTTGGTTTTCTTTTCTTTTCAAAATCTATTTTCTGCTTTTATTTTAGGACGTTTGTTTTCCATCTTAGCAACAAAGTTGTATGCTTGCCCACTGTTCCTCTCATGCCTTTGAGTTTAGATTTATTCATGTTAGAGCTGTGTTTGTTTTGCCTTCTTCTGGTTACTCATACGACGACTCATTTAGAAAGAAAAATGAGAAAGTCCTTTTCAGGAGGTGATGTCTCGGCTGGCTTTGGAGTGTGCTTTCCTTCCTGCTTTCTTTGAAAGAGAGATAACTGGCCATTTGATTTGTTGTTTCTTCTTTGGTGTCTTTGATATACATGATATAAAGGTGTGCTCTTTCAGCTTTCATTTTTGTGTAAAACCAACCATGACAGTGTCATAAATTAGAAAAAGAAGAGGTAAGTAACGTGGTCTATATTAGATTTGGTTTTCAAATGTTTAACTTCCATGTGTATATGACTTAATCCTTTCTGTCGAAGATGATGGGTCATGATGTACTTGGGCTTTGAATTGATAAGCTATGTTTAGTTTTTTGTTCTATTGTTGTGAGTATATTAGATTCGGTTTTCAAATGTTTAGCTTCCATGTGTATATGACTTAATCCTTTTTGTCGAAGATGACGGGTCATGCTGTACTTGAGCTTTGAATTGATAAGCTATGTTTAGTTTCTTGTTCTATTGTTGTGAGAAACCGTGGGTTGTAAAGGTTTTCATCATCCCTGCCTTCCGTTGCTTTGATCGTCACTTTGCAAATGGAATATGGCATAGGAATAAGTGGCTTATAGGTGCAGAAGAAAGAGTAAAAAACATGAAGGAAGGTCTGTCTAATTAAAGAAAAAACATAAGGGAGGGTCTGTTTAATTAAGGGATTTTGTTTTTTTTTTTTTTTTTTTGGGGGGTTTTGTTTTATTTTTTTTTTTTTTTTTTTTTTTCGGCAGGTTTTGGTTACATGCTTTCTATCTCTGTTTTATGAAAATAAGATAGCATATAACTTGTTTTTTAGTCTCAGCATTTAATATGTGTTCTTTCCTGCCATGTGAAATGAATATGGCATTTGTTTCAAGATAAAAAGGATGGTGGTGGGTCACTGCTTATGTTATAGATGTTAGTTTAAGAATCTTGTTTTTTAGGTGCGTGTGGACTTGTGTTTTTCTTTTGAGAATAATGGGCAGAACTGTATTCAAGCTTTAAGTTTAAGTTTGTATGCTGGGGCTCAATGGTTTGAGTTGAACCATTGTAAGCTTCCTGTGAATGTTGGGGTACATACGTGTACGGTTTGTTTTCTTGTAACTGTGATACTCGGTTTAATGGCATGGTTGTGTTTTTTTATAAAAATGTAAAATTATTTTTTGTATGATGCATACGACCAATACCTTTTGAATTTTTTCTTTTTTTTTCAAAAAAAGAGAAAATATTTGAGGTTTCAAAAAAAAATATTTTAGCATGGATTTTTTAAACACGAAAATTATTTTCTTGCATCTTGAATTTTACAACATGTTTGTAAATTCCAAAGGGTGTTGGCCAATATTCCAAAAATATACAAATTTTATTTTTGGGAATTCATCTTTATTCACCATTAATGTTTACATTAAAAAAATTTCAAAGGGGTAAATATCTAAAATATTATTAGGCATAATTTGTCATTATTCATTATTAATGTTTGGATAAAAAAATCTCGAAGGGGTTAATATCCAAAATATTATTAGAAATAATTTGTCATTATTCATTATTAATGTTTGGATAAAAAAATCTCGAAGGGGTTAATATCCAAAATATTATTAGAAATAATTTGTCATTATTCATTATTAATATTTGGATAAAAAAATCCAAAAAGGGTTAATATTCAAAATATTATTGGGAATAATTCGTCATTATTCACTGTTAATATTAGGGTGAAAAAACCCAAGTGATAAATATCAAAAAATATTTTTATAGAAATAATAAGTCCTTATCTCTTAATAATATAATGACAAATAAACCTATGAAATGTAAATGTCCAAGATATTGTTAATAAGAATACACTTGTTTATTTTTAACATATGGACAGATTTATGTTTAAAGTTTTATTTAGAATAATTTAATTGCGTATCCTTGAAAGAAGCCTTAATGATAATTGGGGACATTTCAAATTTTGATTCTACAATTTATGAGTCATGAAAAGATAAAATACTGAAGTAAAAATAGGCTTTTAAAGCACCTTGAATTTCCTTAGATTTCTAACTCTTTTCTCTTCTTTACGATTTACGAATCGCGAACACTTGAAATACTAAGGAAAAAATGAGATCTTAAACACATTGAATCTTTTAGATTTCTATCTTAGTTGTCTTTAAATTCATAAATTGTAAATTTATTTCAAATCAGACATTGACTTCAAGAGATCTGCACTGTTTCTCTTTGGCGCTTTATAGACATATCTAAAGGTTGTTCCTTCAGACTTTGAACCCAAGTTTGTTCATCAGAGCAGACTTGTCCTAAAAAACTGATGGGATTAGAAAACATCAACACCATAACAATTATAAGGATTATAAGGCAAACCAAACACCAAGCAGCTTAGCTTAGGTAGGGCATACTAGGAGTGCTAAAACCTTCCCTTTACGCAATCAGTCTCTTGTTTTAGAATCTCTGAAAGACCAGTTAGGTTTTCTAGTGACCATAATACTAGGTGACGACTCTCTTTTTTACAAAACAAAGACCACGACATTAATTCTCGTTCCAAGAAAGGTTACCTCGACATCGAGCTCTCATGAGGGTATGATAAAGCATGTTATTTTATAATAAATAAAGTCAATATTTTTTTAGAAAAAACTGAAATTGTGCACTTCATGAATTGCTCCAATCCATTAAAAACTTGAGAAAACAAAAGTGGTTTATTTTTCATTGATCTATGATGCCACACTAACAAAAAATAAAAAAGCCTAACAGAAGAATAAAATAAACTACAAAAATCAAGAGACGGGAATCCCCTGAATCTCAAATGATATATACTAGCACTGGCATTAAGAAACAAGAATCAAGATTCACTAGTACATGCAAGTGGTTTATGTTGAATTTGTTCTTGCTTTTCTTCCTTGGTCTCTTGTGGTCTCCCCTTCACAACTGGTGATGCTACCGGAATATCCGCGGGTCGGGTCGGAGGGGGCCCAACATGGCCATCAAGACAAGAGGAGCATTTTCTTTCTACCCATCCTTCCAAATCATATTGTCCATGACCCAAGACCCGACGACCTGAACAAAACCTACCAATCATTCCTGCTATGACTCCTAGTAATGTGATCACTGCAAGAACTGCTATTAATGGTCCCACGGACCCATGACCCGTGCGGGTCGTGCAGGCAGCTTGTTGCGTCCCTTCCATGGGTGGTGGTTCTTGTTGTTGCTGGTCTAATGGGGTAGAAATTAAGAAACAGTTTACAAGTAGGTGCACTCTTTGAGGGTTTTAACTAGAGTTGGGTTTTCTTGCTGTTGGTTTTGGGAACTTAAGAGTGGGTTCCCTTCGGTTTAGAGCTTTTCATGACGCTCGGAAAATGCAGGAATTTTCAGGATTCTGAGCAGTGTTCACGTGTGGAATTAACGTGGGGAGAGAAAATGCAGTCTTAGTTTCTTGCGAGTTAAGAAAGAAAGGGAAAAGGCGTGAGAAAGTGTTTTTGGAGTTGATCATAACAAAATAGAGACAGGAGGGGGGAGAGAGAGAGAGAGAGTGATTACAGGGGGTTTGTATTTATTTTAGAGGTTTATCTTTTTAGTCAGAGACCTTTCGAAAGAATGAGGACGAGAGAGAAAAGCGAGGAAAGAAAGGTTTTGGAAAAAATCAAAGCCCAAGAAAACCCCTTTCGAAAATGGGGAGGAGCTTTCTGGGCACCTTTTCCTGTGATTGCAAGAATTTATGCCATTTATTGGATTCACATCACCAAATAAACAACCTAGTTCCAGAATTCAAGCCTAATGTCATTTATTGCATTCACATCCCCAAATAAAAACAGACAGAATCCTACAATCTTGAGGCTTGACTAGCTATGTGTTCTTACCAGGTCATACTTTAATATGGGAGCAATATGCTCCTGCTCGAAACAGAGAAGCATATACAGGAAAAAACCTTTTCAGTAGTCGACAAATTACTCTCAACGCGCCAAGCAGAACCTCTGTCGTATGGCAAATCATTACTTCATTTCTAAGATGTCTTTCCCTAGCTTCTCTGGAAAAGTTTTGCTTTTATTAAAGTTCAAAAAGCTTTCTTTCTAAAAAAATGTGAAAAAAGTCAGGAATTATCTTCTGAACTTTGAGTCATTTCGCCAACGCACCCCCAAATAGTGCAGCCGAAGGAGGCACCAATTATATTGTCATTGTGAAAAGCTTCCAAGCCACCATGCCTAACAATCTGGGCGATATGGGAGCATTAGTTATCTTAATAATCGTAACCTATCTCGGCTTTAGCAGGAGGAGGAGATCCATATGAACCATGACCACTTAAGTCATCAGAACCTCCTCCGGTTTTAGGAGATCCATGTGAACCATGACAACCCAGGCCATCGGAATCTCCTTCAAAACCAGGGCTTGGACGGTCACCGGCACCGCATGCTAATTGATGCAAAGACATGAAAAGGAAGAAAGCAATGATGATGAAGTACGAGAAGAGATTAGGACTTGTTTGCTCATGAACGTGAAAGTGAACAACTTGCGCAACGTTGATCGTGGGAAACACTGGTGATTTATGTTAAACCAAGGAGAACTGAAATGATTTCATGTTTAGCTTATTAAGTGGCAAAGTTACAGTTTAAAGTGAATGAGATTAAGCAAATATTTCTTTAGAAGATTACACAGCAGAGTTATAAATTATATGCTTAATTGAAGCACAGGGCACTGAATTGTGTGGCTCTTGTACCGGTGCATGATTCACCACTAAACAAGCTTGCTTAAAAAAATTTTATGTCCCCACACATGGACACTAACAGGAAAATCTTATTAAACCACCACAGAGACTTCAACACTTCCATTACGATATGATTCAAAAAAGTCATGAAATTAAGTGTAAGCGAAGGAGAGGTGAAGCCCTTCTGGAGTCATTATGCCAAGCCCTTCTGGACAATATCTCTAACAATCAAGGATAGGTTAGAGCATGATTTATCATAGTAGATGTAATTATCAATCTGGTCACCAGCTAAAGTAAAGAAAAGGAGGAATCGAATGCTGAATTTTGAGAAAAGTTTCTGATACATTAAAATTTTGCTCGAGAATGTAACAAGTTGTCCAATAACACCAATGACCTCTGACGAGGGCCTTAATTGCGTGGTGATTTATACGCAAAACAACGTAATCCGAGTGAATACATTAGTTTAGCTTATAAAGTGGCAAAACCATTGTGCAGCTGCTAAAAGTGACCAGGAGTACAGTCAAAATAGCAACAGTTCAGATGACTTTAATGAACACCTAATGACTTGAGAATTAAGTTAATGGAAGTATGGAACCACCACCATCAATTACATGTTCCATGTAGCCAGCACAGGACAAAAATATTAAATATATTGGTTTTAAAAGTGTCAATCGAATCAGATTTAAAATGTCTGTTGAAATATTAAGCTAATGTTGGTTTAAGAGATTTATTTAAAATATAGATATAACTTGTCTAATAAAGAATGTTTTATTTAAAATATAGATATAACTTATTTATTAAAAAAATATAATTTATTGATCATAAATTTTCTTTTCGCATCCAAAACATAAAAGGAACAAAAACAAACAATTGCTATTTCTTGCATATTATTTATACTGTTAATTAGTATCAACAGTGTAGTTAATTCTATTGTTTCAGCCGGATTTTCTTAACATGTATTAAACCGTATCTGAGTTTTGAATCAGATCCAACCCAGCAAAATAAAAAATAAAAATTATTTTTTATTTTTTAATTGTATTTTATTCAAAAAAACTAGTGTTTAATATTAGTTAATAACAATATATAAATTAGACAAAGATTGCTTGATGACGTAACATTTGTAGATTTTAATCACAATTTTAATTTTGTTCATGATTATATTTTACCTGATGTTGCGCGCTTAAGAAACCAAAAACACTATAGTCTTTGTTGAATATATTTTATACATGATGGACTTGTAGATACTTTAATGGAATAATAAAAAATATTTTATATAAAATATTATTGATTTCATAATGTAATAACAATAGTTAAATTTATAATATTTAAATTAAAAATCATTAATATTAATATATATTTTAAAAAATTATTTTATAACCTCCATTTTAAAAGCATTATTAACCAAATATATTAAACTACTTTTTATTTAACCTTAATTTCAACCACGATTTTAACCAAATATATATAAATACCAAATAAACTTCAACTAAAATTACTTTTTATAAAATAAATTTTTTCAAATTATAACCATAACAGCTACTATAATACTAAACACACTAAAGAAGACCTTAATATAACTTATCCATGGGTAAGAGAGGCTAAATCCAATCTTATTTTAGCCATGAGATTTCCTAATAAGGTAACTAATTTTTAAAAAGAATTAATTTTTTGTTAGCTTTATGTTTATGAAATTTTTATATGTTTCGTGGATTTATAATTAGTTTTAGAATTTTTATTATATATAAGAATATTAATTATTTTATTTAAGTATTATAATTTATTATTTTGTTTATTTTTTTATCAGGTGAAGAGAAAACACAACAAAAAAATAATAATTCAAGTTGATTTAGAAAACAAAATGATAGCAGAACTTTAAGGAGATTATTCAGCAACTTCAATTATGTTTTCTAGTATTAAAAGGTGTTTTCTGGTATTAAAATAATCCTAGGAGGCGACAAAAGAAAGGAATTTGATAAAAAAAGAAAGAATTAATACCAATAATTATGTTCCTTCCAAAGGAGGAAGAAGAAAACATGAGATTAGAATCTTACTATAACTTAAAAATAACATGGATGATTATCTTTTTTTTTAGTTTCTAGGATTAATGAGCTATATAAAATGTTATAAATAAACCTATGATCATTTCTGTGATATTTTTTTTTCATTCTCTTTTTCTCACAGCAAAACAAGGATTTGATATTATGAGTTTTATTTTATTTTATCAGTTACATTCTAAGACTTGTTTGAGCTTAATTAATAATTTGTTTTCAACTAAAATTCAAGAATTGTTTGAATCATATTATAGATTTTTAGTCTAGGATTTTTAGGTCAATTTTATAAGTTGGCCAAATCAATTTACTAGGATAAATTCATAATAGCTATTTTTTAAAAAAATCATTTAAACACATGTAATCTAAATTTCAGCAAGGATTAATGAATAATATTTTTAAATTTTTTAGTTTTAATGTATGGAAGTAATTTTTATATTTTTTTGTTTTTTAATGTATTAAATCTAATTTATCAAAAATTAATTAGTTGTGTGGCATCATTTAACTTTATTTCAATAATATTAATATTTTAAAACATATTTTTATTATATTACATTCTTATTACCTCTATTTTTATTTTTGAAAATTAAATCTTAATTGTATGTTACGGGAATACGTGACCATAAGATTCTATAAGTACCTACAGATAACTTTAATTTACATCAAATGACTCGAAAATTAAGTTAATGGAACCCACCATCGTCAATTAGCATAATAACCAAGAAAATATTAGATTCTAGACATAAGAAAATACCTCCGGTGCAAGATTTCAAAGCAGAATCATAAATTATTGATATGTTAATTTAAAGCACTAGGGAAGGAAATTTGGATCTTATAATGGCTCGATACCTTCCAATAAACCTAGCTTGAGATTTTTTTTTGCATGTTATTGTGTTCACCATTGAACTAATTATGAAATTTTGCTGAAGCACCACTGAGAAGGTGGCGCTTCCTCACCGTGTGATTTGCCGAAGGGAAGTGAACAAGACCGGAAACTACTTAATTGTTTCAACAGATATATCTTCATTAGTCTTCGCATGTTATTGTTTGTTTCGTCTAATCTGAAGACTTGTTCCTAAATAATCATTACGTGGAAATTTAAATATTATTTACAGCTCCATGAATGACATAATCAATCAACTCAACTCCTGCTATGTTGCAGTTTCGCCGCCTATCCAGGATTGAGTCCTAGATTTGATGACTATAGGTACTTATAGGTACTTTACGCCCTATTATTCTAGATAACACCTGCATCCTCTGTATGCTGTTGCTGCTGGCACAAAATTATTTAATGCTTCTTTCTCTCATTTCAACATTGCTTTTTCTCAGGGAAAAGAAGTTAATGACCCGTAGGCCTTCTACCTCCACGCGGCATGGATCTGTCAAGCTTTTGCCCATTGCAAAAAACCCCCCACTTCTTCCTCCCCGTAGGAGTGTGGCCGTGTCCCAGTGCCCATGTGGTTGGCCATCCTCTCAGAGCTTTAGAATTTTATTACCCCCGATTGTTTCACCGAAGAAGAAACCACCAGCGGACTTCCCTGTACGTGAAGTGAATTGTCTCAGTGCTCTCCCCTCTTGGCTTTGGCAGAATTAGATGCTATCTCCATATTTACAGGTCACACAAAGATTGTTATATTTTTAACAGCTCTAAGAAAACAAATTGCCTTGTCTTGTGTTCAAATTGTGAATGTTAGATGGTTTTTAACTATTTCAGATTTTAATTGGATAAAATAAGAAAAGTGATGAATTTAAATACATTACTTGGTTATTAAAACTTTTATATTATGTCAAAGCACAAAGATATTTTTTATTTCATTTTTCTAAATAGCAAATCAATCCCCATTAGAATCACTAAATAAACCCCCCTTTTTATCAAAAAACTTGCACGTCAGTTACATAATCATCCGCTAGATGAGCATCACAAGTTCCATAGAGAGCGATGACCAGACAGTAAAAAGGGCAAGAACCTGAGAGGACTACAACATCCTTCATATCAAGACCCTTTGATGTGAACTTAGCAGTGATGTTTTCTAGTGGTTCAATAGGTGATGGCAATTGTTCATTAGCTGCCTTCTCACTTGCAGTCAATCCATCTGTTCGGCCAAATGAAAGAGGATAATAAGGCCCTCCTGACTGAACCAGAAAATGAAGTCAATGGATGAAGATTTTAGAACAAATTATGAATAGAATATGTCGTAGGAACACGATGAATGAATAAAGAATATGAGCAATGTTAGTACCAAAAGGACAGATTCTCTTGCTGCAAGAGTCAATACATCAGCACATGAAACAGTTGACGGGCAAGCCTTTTCAACATCTGCTTTGATACTTTCAATGACTTCATATCCTCTTGCTGAATTAGGGTTAGGAAAAGCATTCTTCCCTCCCCTGAAATCAATCGTGTCATCTTAAAGCATCGAAGCATCGCAGCCCTATAAGATCATTATATAAGTTGGTCAATCAATTTTAAGTCATGTGCATATAGTATTATAGCCTGCTCTTCAGTTTTGACCCAACATGAGAAATAAATCTAATCTCTATCTATCCAATAAGTCTCAATTTCTAGCCATGTTGCAATCAAGTTGCAGGTTCTGAAGGCAGAATAAATGTGCACGCAGATGTAATTGTGTATATCCTTTTATGTTAGTAAAAGGTTGAGATTGTTCCTGTTAACAACTTGTGTGTTTATTTCTATTTATATTCATTTGTGTATTTCGTTTATTTACAACATTAAAAAAGTATAGATAATCTCTTAAGTTCGTGGAACAAGCTAGTTATAAGCAAACACAAGTAAATAAATGAGCGAATGAACTGAGTCTAGCAAGATTAGACTGCCGTATAAGGGCCGGAAATTTTGCCAAGAAAAATGACCCTGTGGCAAGAGAGAAATGGATTAAGAAGTAGTATTACGTTTACAAAGCAGTCATGAAAAAGCAATCGAAGGAGGGATGCAGCGATTCTGGTGTCATTCTTGAAAGCAGCCCGGACACCACACTTAACAACCATTCCCAAACGGGGGCATGACCTGTCATAGTAATTGTAGTTGTAATTGTAATCAATCTCACCACTAGCAAAAGGGAATGAAGTGACTAAGCGAAGCGAAGACAAGCAAAGAAACAAGGGAATGGTGAAGTATGAGAAGAGTGTCTTAGCCATTTGCATGTGTGAAGAAGCTGTGCAATGCTGATTGTGATGGCCATTGATGCGGGGACCTTGTAAACAAAGAAGAGTCGAAGAGCAGTCATTTGTAGAGCTCGGAAAATCCATGATTTAAAAGAGTCTAGCCGTAAGAGTTAAATAAAAAAAGGCTCGTTCGCCCTAATCCAGTTGAGTTACCGAGAGGAAATATTATTTTCTTAAAAAAAAATTTCTTTAAATAAAAATAATTCACTTGGATTAACTTGTATTTACACGTTGATGATCCCTTATTTCTAGTTCTTTTCTAGATACATATGAACCAGATTTAATTTTAAAATGGCTTTGAATAAGTGAGATTAAATTAGTAATGGAACTCTGTGTGCGATAAGTGCATTCTTAATTTTTTGTTTTTATATATTTGAATAATTTGAGACAACGTAATTACTAATTTAACAAGTTGATTAGTAAGCTTATTAAATTAATCTTTCACTTCTTGAGATTGATCACATCAAAACACGTCAACCCTTTTATCTATCAATCGATCATAGGCTTTATATATAATGGGAATTGAAAGGTTTAATTTAATTAATTAAGACACGAGCATCAATATTAAACATTTAACTAAATCAAATAATCAGCCCTCCATAAATGACTCTTAAATACAAGGAAATGACTTCAATATGAGCCCAGTTAATTGGCATCCATAACCCTTTCATTATTCTTCTTCTTCTTCTTTTTTTGCCCTATATTAATCACGCAAATATTAGATTTTTTTTTAATCACGTAAGATATTAGATTAATGATAGAAAATACCTTGGCTAGATCCCAGCTACATGATTATTAGAAGATATAATCATAGACTACATGTTTCATGCACGGGTCTCCACTGAGCTTCACTGATAACTAACGAAGATCACCGTGCCCATGAACTTTGAAAACTTTATCTGCCCCAGCTCAGACACTTTCTTAGGATCTGATTTGCCAGGATCAATGCACAAGCTGGACCACTACTTGACGGCTCAAGAGCATAATGCTTATTGGAGGGATTTTACTCTCTAGAATTCATCTATTCAAGTGTTATAAAATTATTAAAAATTTATATAATTATTAATTTTTAAATTTTTAAAAATTAATCAAAATACATATAAATTATAATAACATCTTAAATAAAAAATAAAAATAACGAGCAATTATGTAATGTCATGCGCATGCTGTAGTTAGTGACATATAATTCCGGGGACTGACCTAATCATTCACTTATATACAAAAGAAGTGATAACTGAAGAATTTAATTCCCACTGCCATCAAGTAAGACAAAACTATGGAAAAAATATAGATATATGGGGTTGATGGATTAAGATTTATTAGTATTTTTACAATTCAAAGACATCCACTATAATTTTGAAAAAAGAAGTAGAAGAATCTTTGCTCCTAGATACAAAAAAAAATAATCTCAAAAGCGTGATTTGTGCTTGTGAAATTATGAATTGATGGAGTCAGTATGATCTATCTGGCTTGTCGTGTTTTGATTTCTTCAACAATATATGGTACTGTGCAACGTGAAGGAGATGTCATGTCTTGTTTGCTGTGGTTTTTAGCTTCCGTATCCTCTTGATTATGGAGTTTTTAAGGAACGTTTTGAAGAAGATGAAGGGGATAGGGACAATAATAATTAAAAAAATGAAATTCTTTTTATTCCAAACACTTGAATTCGACCTATCTCCATTAATTGATTCCAGCAGCCTTAGCTATTTTATAAGATTCATATATATATATATATATATATATATATATATATATATGCTCTTTTTTTTAAAAAAAAAAAAAAGTTAAACTGTGACTAGGATCTCATATTAATAAAGGATATGACAGCGAATTCTAGACCATGTCACCTTGGTAAAAAAGATAAGATAACAAAGATGCTATATCTCATAATATCTAGATATAAAATTACTAATTTAAGATTCGAAGTACAAGTATCTACTTGAGTGGTGGATAAATTGTTTTTTTTTTTTAAATTAATTTAAATTTTTAGTCTCAATTTTATTTTGTATTTTTAGATAATTTTGATGTGATGGTATTAGAAATATTTTTTTAATATTATTTTGATATATTTAAAAAAACCATAAGAATAAAATTAAGATACTTACATCAGGACTTTCAGAAATCGGACGTGTGAGGGGATGACCTTTTATATTATTACAGATAATATTAATGTTGAAATGCACAGCTGCACCTAGTTCATTGAATATTCTTGGTGTGACTCTGCCAAATTCCTTTATGACAAAGCGATGGCAGCAACAAGAAGACAAAAGAAACATTGTTTCTTCCATTGGAGGAAACTGCAGAGGTGGTTTTATTCTAAAAATGGCATAACTCAAAAGCGGTAATTTCTTGAGATGCTCTCATGAGAAAGATGATTATCTCTTCTTGTCTGCAGAGTCTAATTGGATTTGAAGTGAAATGACTCACATGGCAGCCTAAAATATGAAAATGGAACAGAAAATTGGGGAAGAATCAAAATCCCAATTTAGTCCTGAAAACATTTTTTTATCTCAATTGAGTCCCTTTAGTTTTGATGAATTCTTAGTTTCAAACACTATAGAAATAGATTCATTTTTATGCATGAATGTATACTTATTTGAATGGATGGAATTGAGGATTTTCTAAGCCTATGAAGACCCAATTGAGATCGAAAACAGGTTTAGAGACTCAACTGAGAATTCTATAAATACAGTTAGGGATTTATTTGAGATTTTTCCAAAAATGGAAACTGAAACTGAAAATCCTGGCCCATGCAGGTTTCGAACCTGCGACCTTCGCGTTATTAGCACGACGCTCTAACCAACTGAGCTAATAGGCCACATTGTTTTGAATTATTTCAAATGTAATATGTCTTTATAATGTTAAAGCAGCATGAAATAGAGCGAGATTATCATAACAAAATTGACAGAGAGAGGGAGAGAATGCATCCCTCAAATTCTTTATTCAGACAGTTTACACAGGAATAAAGGGAACTGAAACAACACTCCCACCTAAAATGGCATTCAAGAAAAACACTGCTATCATGCTACAGTATTTTTCACAAGACAATTCCGTGCTACACTATACACCTCAAATTATTAAGAAACATTGGTGATGCCTGAAAAGAGTAAATCAGACTAAAGATTCTACAAAAACCAATTTCTTGCTTCTTCAAAACTACAAAATATAAGAGCAAAAAAGTATTGACCGATTGGTCAGAAGGGGGAAAAATGCACATTATTCCATCATTGAGCTGGTCAGAGCTGAAGTAATCAATGGCTTGCCTCGACCCACAGTGAAACCTTTGGTTCCATCAGGCATTCTTGGACCCTTAGAAGCATGTTTAGCAGATGCTTCACGTTGAGGGGTGCTGGCACATTTTACAGGAGCAAGCAGACCTCTGCTACAATTGATTTGACCACGGCCTTTGCCCTTGCCATGGCCTTTTGCAGCCCATGCCTTCTTTGATGCTCCTGAACTATCTTCAGCCTTAGGAAAAAAGTTTACAAGGCGTTAATATTTAACATGGTTATTGTTATTAAATTAGACAACTGGTATGGCTAGGAAAATGGTAGATCAATTCTATGATCCTGGCAGACTGAGGATTTAAGATATGTATGCTTACACATAGATGCCAAGATAAGACTAATTAGACAAGAAAGTTACTCACATGACTCTCTGAATTGTTTGGTTTGAAGGTATCTACAGTTGATTCATAATGAGGTGAATCTTCCTCCTCCCAAATATCAAATTCGGACCTTCTGCCCCTGGGGAGAACAGATTTTGGCTGCAATTGTTTTTGGACAAATAGTAAGCTACGGTCTTTTGTTGAGCAGGAGATGGTGCAAGTAATAGCTTAGTTTATGCATACCGAGCATCGAAGAAGCAACCTTACTCTAAGGCCTTTCCTCCAATTCCTTTCATCATTCAACTTTTCAACCTGTTGGACTTAGTAGAAGCTTTCAATTTCATTGCATAAATAAGAGATATTTAAAACCAAATTTACATAATATGCATTAACATACCGCTTTCTCAGCTATTTTTTGGGTTTCAAGTTCCACAAGTGCGTGCAGCTAGAGAATATAAAAGGAAAAGGAGTCATGAAAATTTTCCTTTTAACACTATCCTGGTTCGCATAGAAATTGTGTCAATTCATGTTTAATACCTTATTGGTTACAATGAAATCATTTTTAGCAACGGAAGAATTGGATTCTTGAGGATGGCATATTCTGATGGTTTTCACACTGTTTACAATGGCAGTTGTTAACACACAGTCATAAACTTGATGTTTTCTAGAATACTAGAAAGTAGAAACAGAAATGTTAGCTTCCAACTCATAGACTTGACCTTCCAGCTACGCTGAAAATCTTCTGGACATTTTGATGAGAATGATCTTCTGGCAAATTCTCCACAACAACAATACGAGACTGCAGGAAGAAAAAAAACGTATTGCATCAAGCAAAACTGTTGTAAAAAATACTTTCGGATCATTTTTCCAACAGAGAAAATCTGTGCTGATTTACCTGTAATTCTTCTCTATCTTTATCAGTGAAAGGGATTTTACGCTTAACCTTCTTGCCATCTTCAGTCAGGGACTTTAGAACATCAAGGTAACAACAAAGAGAGATGGTCCCTCTAGATTTAACAATTCAACTTTTGATAATTACAAAACAATGACGAGGCAATTTAAGCGAAAGGACTTACAAGTTTTGATGAAGACTTGAGTGCTTGAGCAAGCATATCGTTATCGATAACAAGTGACCGCATTTTCTTAGTTGAAGCAATAACAGATATTGGCACTGCAATGCAACCGAAACATAAGATTAGAAATTCGAGCTACCACTGCTGCAAAATACAGGTCCGTAGAGAATACTTCAATGATCCTTACCATAGCCTTCAGGATCTTTATTATTGTGTTTCGACATCGATTCGTTAGCAAGAAGACTCATGTCACTGAATTGGTACTCCACCTATTTCAGACCCAAACAGTTCTCAGATTCTTAGATCATTTCAA